GAGGGGGGGGGGGGGGCAGGAGGCAAAGGGTAGGAGAAGCAAATCCCGCGAGGATGCGCAAGTTCGTGAACCGGACCAGCTCGCAGTCCTCACGCGAGTTTCGTACTGAGAGCATAGCTCCGAGTCGTCTGTTTTTGTCGTGCCAAGGGAGAAAATAAGTGATGACGTGGTTTCGCATCCTTGTTTTCGTGCTATGCACCCCCTAGTAACGACACAGCGATCGTATTTTATTGCGACGTTATATACGCAAAATAAATCATTTTTCTTACGATGAATATTGTTTTCTAAGGGACCTAGTCGGACTGAAATATTTAAAACAGCAGTTCGTGCGATGATATTAACGATTTCTTGATTTTACAACGACATCCTTGATTTTATTCAAGATGTGATTTTAACGTCACTGGCGAAATGAAGAATATTTAATAAATAATCAGCGAATCTACGAGTCGAAGCGTGCTATTCCACGAAACTTTTAAAGTGAAGCTGGGGCTGTGAAGTGATGTGTTCATATACTGCTGAACTCCGAAGTAATACAAATAAATGTAACGCGTTATATTTAATATAAAGGACAGCGGTGAAACTGAATATTAAAAGAACACGAACTGGTATTTCGCAAGGGAACATTTTAATGTCGTATCATGGTGACCAAAGCACCTCCGTAAATACAGACACATGGTGCAAGTGCAAAGACGTGTTTCACCGCTTCCCGCAGTAATAAAGTTGAAAAATTTATAGCGAATTTCCGACGACCAAAGCTAACTGTTAGCGTCAACATTTGCAACCCCTGGTGGAGTTAGAATTGCGCTCCAGAAGGGGGATACGAATGGAATGAGTCGAGGTCCTAGCAGCCGCCAGATCCAGTACGTTTCAATGAATAGGAGAGTGTCGTGAATTTCTGTACGAATTTACTCTGCCATTCCGGCGTCTCTTGGTAAACGAAATTTCTATGCAAATCGCTGTCGTGTTTCTCGCAAAGGAATTACTTTTCATCAGCGCGAGAGACCCATGGATAGAAGAAAGCATCGCCGAACTGACGTCGGCGAGCTATTACGGCAAAAGGATCGAGCGAATTGCGATTAAAGGGATGGGAGTCCATCGAGGGAATCTCTAGACAGCATTGGGAATGGGCGTTTGCTGGGAAAACCAACATTTTGATCGAGGAATTTATTACCCACCTCGATGATAACGAATTCCACGAACGTAAGCCAAAATTATTGCTTCTGTATTCTCTATAGAGAAGTAAAGTAACATTCTAAGACAATATTTTTCGAACAATAAGGATTCGAGAAATATTGCGCATTCATGAAGATTTCGATACTCGGGTTAATATCGAAAGTCCATGAAGCTGTTTATCGCATATAATATTGCAAGCTAAAATTGTAAATGCCTAACGATATGCATATCATACTTTAATATTAAAAAAAAAAAACGGTTAAAACTCGGTCGTCAAAGCGTCGAAACAACATTTAATTTATGCTCGCCTTTGAAGCGTGCACGGAAACCGCATAAGTAGAAGTAGTAGTAGAGTAGACAATGATCAGACAGCCAAGTCGTACGAGCGCGTCACGAATCTCCTAAATCGATTCTCTCTTCGGAAACAAATATCTCACGATAAATCTCTTTCATTTTTTGAATTCAACGTTCGTCAGAGTATTTTACCAAGTTCAGTGAACTCTCGCAGGAAACGGCCACGATAGAGACCCCATTTAACACCACTTCAAGCTATAAAAATATCTCACGTTCCTCAAAAGATGGAATAAAAACGTACGCGGTGAAATAAGAATATTACTGAACCAAAACACGGAAAATGTTATTTTCTCGTGTTATTAAGTTAGCGGCTTCTCGTGCCATTACTCTTGTATTTTCCATCTCACCGGGCCGCCCTTTCATCGATGAAATATTGAAGTTGAAACATCAGTGCGCTGTTTTTTAAGTCACCGCGACGCAAACGTCCACTTCACTCGTAACTTCGACGCGATGAATTTCGTAAACAAACTCCAAATCAGCAAATCGATGACTTAAACTCCCACCAATTTCTCATCAACTACAACATATTTTAATTTCATCAAAATCCTTAACCTCTGATTATCTTATTTCCTAAAATCTTCCGGTCTATTTATCACAGTACATTTCAAACGAGCAATCAAGTCAGCCAGTTTCAAACAAATTCTCCTCGACATGATCCAATTTCATAAGAATCCTTGACCTCTTATTTCGCTTATTTCTTAAATCCTTCATTCCTTAAATAATAATAATAAAGTTAAAAGCAAAGTTAATCCAACTTTTAAATCCTTCATTTGTCATAGTACATTTTCCGAAACGAGCAACGAAGTCAGGCATTTCCTTCCGACTGTAGAACGTAACTCTCTCCCCCTTCGTCTCCCCCTTCGCCCACTCTTTTCTCTCTCTGTTCGTTACTTCGATTAAATTTCCGTGTTTATTGCGCCCCATGCAATTTCAATTCGCAGCGGACGCCAATTTTCGAGTAATCTTCCAGCGCCAGACTCTCGCAGTTTCACGCGAGCGAACGATTCACTCGCGAATCTTTTGTGTCTCGCGAATATTAATCGGTCGCGACAGTAATTCCATTAAATTTCTTATCTACGATTCGTGCGCTGAGACGAATTTTCAGTATTTCAACCCGCATGAAGATTCGATGCTAACTTGCGATACCCGAGTCTTCGTAATAAGAACTTGATAAAAAAGGGAGAATAAAGTTTACCCCGTCTCTGTTGTATTCGCTTATGGCTTCCAGAGACTAACGATGACGACAGTGGATACATCGATTCCACATAGAGACGTCCTTACCCTCGTTAGTTTAGTTTAACGGGGCATACTTTGTCCTTCGTTCCAAACAGATATAAATTTAATTAACGTAACAATGTTTTGCTGTTAGCGACATGAAAGATATTATTATGTTTAGTAGAAAATTAGTGAATGCTTTTCACGAATTTCTCGTAAAATAAACAATACATGGGGGTACAATCTGAAGTAGTTTGCATATTGTTACCTAACAAGAGCCTATAATGGAATCCACTGAAAATTACGGCACGTTACCGTTATCGACAACCAAAGCCATACAGCAATCTACGTAATCGCTAGGCACTGATAGCATGTTCCCTTCTACTTCGATTATTCGATGGATTTCTTGGATACACGTACGCACGATCACGTAAATTCGATGTAACAGGCACGTTTGAAATACAAACAGTTAGATCGACTGAATAATAATCATCGTTAGATCGACTGAATAACGATCGAAAACTGAATAATAAATGAATCTCGTGAAACGCATTCCATCTATTGTCCGACCTACATTAGCTTTCAATTCGAGCATTTAATATCTACCCGAGGGATCGAGTTATCGCAGTAAAACGAACCTCTAATTACTTCCAACAGTTTATTAAGGTTGCTGAGGCGAAAAAACTTATTATAAAATTTACTTTCGACTTGTTAAGGCTTGCAAAACTTTCAATATCAAAAACGAAGACGAGTAAAAAGTTTGCAAACTTCGAAGCGATAGGAAACTCGAACTCCTAAACTCTGAAACCGCGTCACAAAATGGCTGTACGAATAAATTGTTCACTTGGAAAAATTGATACAGTTTTCACGATTTGTCCCCAGTGTTCCAAATATATTGGTGTTTGTAAAGCTCGATCGATAAGCGGCTTAAGGTTGAAAAATAAAAGTGAAAAAAAGAGATGTAACGATCGTATGTTGTCGATTCGAAAATATATTTGAATTGAAAATTACGATACATTTTATTCTTGTCGGGAGGATACTTACTTTTACCAACAATAATAATTCAGAATTATTAATAAATTTTAATTAAACAAAAAAAGCAACTTCATTGGTCCTCCATCTTGTTGGCAATAAAAAGGAACAATGTTGTTTCAACCACGAAATACTTCAGATGTATTCGAAACAGGCAGGACTTGATCTTCCGAAGTACACTCGATACAAAATACTCCAGAGCTGTACGTTCAACGATTTTTCGCTCGTACGTGACTACCGACGAATAAATTGGATTACAGGAAGAGCGAATTGATCCTCCAATTTCGTATCCAAGAGATCCTCGCTTCAAGGAAATCGTGGTTCTTCGCGCAAAACGAGATTTCTTTACAGTCCACTTTAATCGTCAACTGACCACATTTACGATCATAGCATTCCAACGATTCTTAAAGAATAACTATGTAATTAATGTAGACAGTAAAATAACAGCGAAGACTTCTCACTAAAAAGTTCTGTCGTTAATCATGCATTTAATTTCATGAAAAGCGCGTTATCAATCCATAGAAAGTAGGTTTACAGTTGCAGGTATTAACCGAGGGTAGACTATAAAAGACTTCGTTTGATGGCTGCCATAAAAGAGATAACGGCGAAGTTCTATCGTTTTTTTCTTTCGTATTCAGATGAAACGGAAAGTAGGAAGAAGATTGTCCTTTTTGTTGATACTTGATTTAATGGACTTCGCTGTGAACTTGAATTAACAAAAGTATCGCGACATTTGTTAATTGCAATCAGCCACACAGTATTGATTCTTGTTGCAGATGGTTTAAACAGTGGCTAGGAAGACTATCCGGAATATAATGTAACATGGATGACGATATATCAATATTTTTGGTGGTCATCCTTGCTATCAGCGGCTTAACGATGATGAGCGCGTTGCTGGCCTGTTATGCTTGCATCTTCCGTGACCTGTGTTGTAGACCCGAGGACAGGACGAAGAGAAGGCGTCCCCACAGTCCTCATCACGAACGCGACGACTCTAACAGACCAAAAATGGACGCGATACTTCTAAACGATATTACGCAAGGTGAAAGTATGCCGACGGAATCCGAGAAAATTTAATTAAAGGAAACTCGAATATTAAATTACTGTTACGTTGTGAATTTTTTGGTAACAGTTGACAATATTGGGGTAAAAATAATTAGAAATGAAATTAACGACATCGAAGATTACGTCATTCGGTGTTGAAGATAATAATCGTGAAACATAAACAAAGATGATTAGAATTTTATTTCAGGCTGCTGTGCTGCAGTTAATATATTATGTACATACTCGAATATATTCATACATATATGTACATACGTTGTATATCGTATATATGCGACAAAATGTATGTAATAAAAAAATTCTGGTAAAAATATATAACATCGTATGATCGTCAATAACGGCGCGGGTGACTTCTACACCACATTACATGGTTATATCTACATCTTTATTAATATATAAAATAAATTTCTATTTATATCTCTCGTGCAATCATTATGCTACCCGTATTGCGTAGAGAACACATACTCCCATCCTTTCTGGTAACTCTACCGTAGTTTGACCTAAGTATCAGCAAAATATTTGTATAAACATGCATATTGTGCAACTGTCAATTCTAGTAACACATTCGGCTAGCTGATTTGGCTGTTAAGTTGCTGGAGTACGGATAGTACAACTTCGCGCAAAGTCTGAAACAATTGTTATGTATTTATTAAGCACTATCTGTTGATCCATAATCGAAATACATGTAATAATATTCAAAGTAATATATTTACCTGAGGTTTGCAATGTTCCTCCAACCAACTAAATACACACCCTGATAGTTCCGCAAAATTCGCAACAGAAATGTTATTGAATGTTTGAAACAAACGATCCATGATTGCTTGGAACTGAATTAAAATTTATGTTACAAAATATTTCCAGCATAATACAAATGTTCGCGACACAAATCGTATTTTAAACTTACCACTTGAAATTTGGTTTCATCGGATATGCGCATTTCTGCCTGTCCCGGTTGGGTTTGATGTGCTTTAACAATTTGCTCGTAATTAGCTTGCATAATACGTAAAGCAACAACTTCCTTTCTGAGTGCGTTACGTTCTTCTTCTTGCTTCTTTTTTTGTTGCAATAAAAACTGTATATAATCAATCGATTTTTGAAGTACAGTTGCCTTGGAAAGCTTGTAACCCGATGAATCGGTATGTTGGCAAGCAGGAACTAAATCTTGAAGAGAATCGTATCCTTTTTTAATAGCATCTCTTCGCTTCTGTTCTGCTTGAGTATGCGCTTCCCGCCTGCGTTCTTTGTAACTTATTGTTGAACTTTTATTGTCACTGTCCTCATCCTCTATAAATAATTTCACAATATGATTATTATCTTCAATTTTGAAAAACTCTTATATATGTTCACTTTAAATAGGTAAAAGAGAGTATTTTGTAGCATTGCTGCTACTATCATGATTCCATTTCCACAATGAATGTATCAAAATAGATATATTGTATAAGTTACTGTGTAGATTAATTAATTACTGTGTTCAATTCAATGAGTTACCTGTATTATGAGCAGATGAGGATGGTGTATTCACAGAGCCAGTACTACTACAACGAGAAAATGTATATTTTTCTGTAGGACTTGACGGCTCTAGCTTCATGTCACTGTCCCCTGCCATGTTACTACTTCCACAACGCATTGCTATGTTCGCTACATACACAAAAGAATAAGTATTCAATACCATTTATATTTCACTCATGTATCTTATATATAGTAAGAATTGATGAAAAAATCTCGAATAATATGGTATAAAATATGTAATTTTGTACTATGAAACATTTGATAACAATGAAGAAATGAACTCATAAAATTGGAATGGTAAAGTTAAATTTTACTCACACACTTCATATCCATCTTTATGCAGCGTATCTGACATTACGTCAGTAATTAATTTGTTGAAGATCAACGCGAGGAGAAAAGAAAATAATATTAAAAAGCGCACGTGGAACAGTTACAAAAGAGTTGCAACAAGTAAGATGCACCAGGAGTGGAAAATAACCAAACACGGTTATCCATAAAGATTCATTAAACGAACCGTTACGTTAACGAGAGAACATTAGCCCCACGAAACTTCCTCGACCAGCACGAAATGCGATCACGATAACATAATTTCGATAAACAAACAATTCCGTGATTGCTTCGCGATAATACTATATACACATAGATACAGCCATGTTCGACAGAAGTGTAATTGTTGAGTTGAGGACAGTTGAGGATAGATGTCAGTCGAAGGAGGCAGTGTTGCCACATCACGAAACGGAGAGCAGCTGTCAAAACGAAGCCACGTGCTCAACTAGCAGACAAAACGTCAAGGTCGCAGCACGAAGTCTCTTTGAATGCAGTAAGTTGAAAGAAGCAAAATGTTATTAACAACTGTCTTTGTACAGGAGTTAATATAATGACGTATGTGAACCTACAAAATATCTAGAACTATGCGAAAAGAATTGATTATTCAGTTTTTAGATTTCCTTAGGTATTGCTTCTTTACTTTCAAATTTCGCGCGCCCCTTGAGACACGTAATGTCATCTGTGGCAAGACGTCCAAGTTTTTCGAGAAATAGTTCGAAACTCACGCCGCTAGATGGCCCGACATGTATCTAATTACCTACATTACAGTTATTTTAATATTTTAATTATTTTTAGGAATTGTTTTATGCATATCTTTTGGAAATATAATTAGTAATTTATCTAAGTCAAAAATCTAACATAATAAATGGATGTGCAAATATATGTATGTTTTTTACTCTTTAAAACATTTTAATTAACCTATTGATATTTTTTGTTTTTTGAATTTATCTTTCTTATACTTTATCTACATTTATATACGATCATTGCAGAACTGCATATCAAATTGAGATGTTACAGTCGGGTGATCTCTGTTGATAATAAGATGTAAACAGTACCATTCAATTAACACAATTTGGACGATAAAACATAACATTTCTTCGTACGTAATTCTCAACATTTTTATTGAGATATTTTCGTCACGATCACTTATTTTATAAGGAAATTTTGTTCATAATAAGTATGCAACGAATCACTTAGTTCGAGCCACGTGATCGCACGTGCCCTTGTCTCTATCTTTGTCAGATACTTATTCTCTACTTTATCCTCACGATTGACAAAGTAAAATTTATTTAATTGGAACACTGTTAACGCAAGAGCCACGCATTTGTTTGACAATTCCACTATTTATTCGCATTAGAGTGTTCTGATTATTTCAGATCATTTTATTAAATGCTTGTTAGATCATTTTCGTGGATTTAAATCTACATTCAAAGTTACCCCCACTCTAAACTTTGAGTTCATCTCCTTTTATCGGAGCTCCAGCGGCAGTACCTTCTGCTGCTTGGCCGACGTAACAGATCAGGGAAATCACTTGTTCAAAATGTATGCAAAAACTATTGGAGACCGTCAAGCTGCTAAAGAACATGCTTTGGCTGTTTCGAGAGACTTCGTTGCTCAACCTCGACTCAGTAAGTGATATTTATTTTACCAAAACCAACAGACATGAAATGCGTGAAATACAAGTGCTCAGCGTAAACTGGGCGTAGCAGTGGATCGATTTGCGACCAGTCAGCTGATCTCGAAAGTATTCGTTCTTCAATTGCTCTAATAAATTATAAAAGACTCTTGTAATTACGAACAAATACTTTGAACGATCAACTTTCTAAGTTTAACGAACTAATTATGAACGCGAAGGAATTGTTCATGGAACTATTGTCTGTCTATCATGTGACCACGAACGAAGACATTGACGTGATGAGTTTTGACAAATTTCCGTCTTTAAATTAAATTCTATGTAAACATTCATTAAAACGAAATTATGTATCGTACTTGATAAATTCATTGCACTCCGATTTTTCAGAAGGAATTAAATGAAATAAAATAGGGTATTGCATATTTGAATAGATAATTACTGATGTTAATGATTTATGTTTATTTTTCTAGCATACAAAACTGTGTCAGGTGTGAATGGACCATTGGTTATATTGGATGAAGTCAAATTCCCAAAGTTTGCAGAGATTGTTCAGTTAAAACTAGCTGATGGTTCTATGAGATCTGGTCAAGTGTTGGAAGTATCTGGTTCTAAGGCTGTGGTTCAAGTATTCGAGGGTACTTCTGGCATTGATGCGAAAAACACACTATGTGAATTCACTGGTGACATTTTACGAACACCAGTATCCGAAGACATGTTAGGTCGTGTCTTCAATGGATCTGGAAAGCCAATCGATAAAGGCCCACCGATTCTTGCTGAAGATTTCCTTGACATTGATGGACAGCCTATTAATCCATGGTCACGTATTTACCCTGAAGAAATGATTCAAACTGGTATTTCAGCTATTGATGTTATGAATTCTATTGCTCGTGGCCAAAAAATTCCTATTTTCTCTGCTGCTGGTTTGCCACATAATGAGGTACTTGAATTAATACAATATACTGTGTTTAGTTAATCACAATATATCATTTTTATAATGCATTTATTTTTCTATGATCTGGTATAGATTGCTGCACAAATCTGTCGTCAAGCTGGTCTTGTAAAAGTACCTGGAAAATCAGTTTTGGATTCTCATGAAGACAACTTTGCCATTGTCTTCGCAGCTATGGGTGTGAACATGGAAACCGCCCGTTTCTTCAAACAGGATTTCGAAGAAAATGGTTCTATGGAAAATGTGTGCCTCTTCTTGAATTTGGCCAATGATCCTACCATCGAAAGAATTATTACTCCGCGTCTTGCTTTAACTGCGGCTGAATTTTTGGCTTACCAATGCGAGAAACACGTTTTAGTAATACTTACCGACATGTCCTCCTACGCTGAGGCTCTTCGTGAAGTATCAGCTGCCCGTGAAGAAGTACCTGGACGACGTGGTTTCCCTGGTTACATGTACACCGATTTAGCAACCATATACGAGCGAGCCGGTCGAGTAGAAGGTCGTAATGGTTCTATCACTCAAATTCCAATTCTAACTATGCCAAACGATGATATCACTCACCCTATTCCTGATTTAACGGGATATATTACCGAAGGACAAATTTACGTTGATCGTCAACTTCATAACAGACAAATTTATCCACCTGTTAACGTACTTCCATCTCTTTCCCGTCTTATGAAATCTGCTATCGGCGAAGGCATGACACGAAAAGATCATTCCGATGTATCTAATCAATTGGTAAGTTAAAAAAGAAAGAATAATCATTCAAGTTTAATATTATAAATTTAATAATAATTTTGTTTCAGTATGCCTGCTATGCTATTGGAAAAGATGTACAAGCTATGAAAGCAGTCGTTGGTGAAGAAGCTTTAACACCAGACGATTTGTTATACTTGGAATTCCTTTCCAAATTCGAGAAAAATTTCATTTCTCAGGGAAGTTATGAAAATCGTACTGTTTTCGAGTCATTAGATATCGGCTGGCAATTATTACGTATCTTTCCTAAAGAGATGCTTAAACGAATTCCTGCCAGTACTCTTGCTGAATTTTATCCAAGAGATTCCCGTCATTAATTTTTGTTACACTTATAATTCAATTTCCATCTTCCCAAAAAATCCATGAAAAAATGGTAAATAAAAAATAATGAATTATAGCGGCCTGACCTGTTTCAAGATCAGAAAGGAAATAATTAAATGTGTATAGTGTTTTGAAAGTAGTTGTCCCATATCAGCGAAGTTGTTACAATATTTTCATTAATCAAGTTGGAAATAAAAATCAAGAAAGTTGAAAATTATTAACAAATGTTACACAATATAATTAAATACATTTTGATAAATAAGAAGGCTGAACAACTACAAGTACGCGCTACTAAAAATATTTGTACGGAACTTGTATTTAAAAGGTCAGAGCCATGTTGTGCTGTTTAACGTTAATTCTATAGCGTTAATGTAAGATTAATTATAATAATGTTTTCTGTTTTATCCGAATGTTCGCTTACAGAAAGTGATTGTGTAAAGTGTAATATATTACTCAGTATTAACATAGAAAAAGAGATACGATCATATATCACTTTATATTTTCTTTGTCCTACATTCCAGTATAAATCAATTTGCGAAATGGTTTGTTTCTTCGCTTAAACAACAGAAACAGTAACGTTTAATATTATTCGACGTTGCTACAAATGTATAAACATTTATGGATAAGCAACTTTTAAAATCAATATTCTACAAGCACCCCTATTGCTTTAATGTTGTATAGAATAGTATTCTTGTTTCAAATAAATATATAAAGTATAGTTTACATACAAACTTACATGCATTTGTTAATACTGTCAGTGTAATTAACAGTCAAAACACAAATGGATGCGCATAGTGTGATCATGTCTATTGATGTAAGTCAAAAAAATTATACATACATATACATATGTACACGTGTTTTGTTTCTTTATTATTTTACAAGAGAATAGAATGAATCGAAAAAACATGTGGTTGTAGTAACAGCTTATAAACTATATATATATATATGTTCATTCTGTGCAAAACATCATGTTACATATTTTCAGGATCTGTGTTACTTTTTTAATCATTTTAAAATTTTATTTATTTCAAGTCTTGGCTTGTTAATTGTTGAACTGCTAATTGAACACGGAGCTCGATGCAAGCGTCTTTTTCTTCTATGATGCTGCGAATTAAAGTGGTCATTTTCTTCTAAAATCAGATAAAATAGGTCATACTAATTAGTATTAATTAAACGATATACCGTATTCCTAAAAATGCTCTATGTATATACCTCGAGCAACTGGTTTTCTTTGACTAATTGAATCATGGCTGTCATTTCAGCTTCATTCGGCGAATGTACTCGTTCCTGTGGTTTCTTTTTCTCTGGTCCACGCTCTAATAACATTTCCGTTAGTCGCTTAATTTCATTTCTTTCTTGATTTAATCGCGATTTTAGTAACGCCTGCATGTTTAGCAATTCCTCGTAAATTAGACTCTCTCTCAGTTTATCTATAACATTTTCAGGCTCCGGTTCTACGGCTGAAGCTAAAGTAATGCGACCCATTACAATTGATTATTAAAAGAGATAAGTATAATTCTCATTTAGATACAAACAAAAACAAAAAATTGTGCTTTTCTAATTATTTAAAATGATTTCATTTCATACCACTTTCATTTGTTCTAGATGTATTTTCTTGTTCACTGGGTTGTGATGCAAGCGCAGATGGTTCAGCAGAATCGACACTATCCTTATCAAGTGTTTGAACGTTTCTTTCATTTTGAGTAATATTTGTACTTGTTGGTTCTCTGTCTTCCGAACCATGTGCTTTATTATCCCTTTTTAAGGTCGAAGTATACGTCGATTGAGTTTCAGGTTTTACATGTCCCGAATCTTCTTCTTCAACTTTTACTTTCTGTAAACTTGACTCGACTACATTTTCATCGGTCGATTTGACATCTTCGTCTAAACTTTTTTGTGTAGCACCTTCCACCAACTTTTGAACAGTTTTATATTTTCTCTGAAAAAAATAAAAATTTATAGTTACGTACTATAAATCTTCACGCCTATTTATAAACGTAAAAATAATAACGTCCAACCTTTAATTGCGTTATCATGCGTTGCACTTCCCATAGTTGTTCCTCGCGCGTTTTAGTAACGAAACCTGCATTCATTTGCATATGTATCTGCGAGAGTAATGATTCTTGTTTAGATAGTTCAGCAGTTATACTTTCTATAGAGTCTGGAAGATTAACACTGCCAGATGAAAGTGGTGGAACATATTTCGTTAATTGTACATTTGGAAAGAGAGCTTTGCAATGGAATAACAAAGCTAATAACAATCTATGACTCATTTGTAGTACAGGACTTAATGTCATTGAGACAGTTTGAGCATTCATTTTTGTTGTTTTTTCCTGAAATACAGTTTTGTATGAAGTAAATATACATACATATTATGCTCCAAATTTCTTTGTTCAACATACTCGTGCTGTGACATGGTCTAAATGTAATATAACCCATGCAAGAAGAACTTTGTTACATTCTGGTAGTTGTTGAGTTAACTGTACTAATTGTGCTTCCCTCTGTGCAACATCTTTCGTGGATGCAGCTTGCTCAAATCGAGATATCGTCTCGCTGTTCTCCAGTACAGGTTCTGGTAGCTCCCTATAATTATCAGAATACCAGGTTGAATGGTTTCATTCTAAAGCATATTTTCTGACAAAAATTGTGAAATACAAACCTAAGAAATAATATGAGTAAGCTTGTAGCTACTGTAGGTTCAAACTCAGATATATTTGCAGGTTCTCTGTTGTTATACAATTTTTTCAAGTGTTGAACTTTTGATTTTACTCCTGGAACTTTATACAAACCCTCTATATTCATTCCATGTTCTTCCACATAATCAATGCAATCTCTTACAACTAAAGGCAGTTCAACACCATCATGACAACGACTTCGTTCTACTGCTAAATGCAGGCTAACACCAAACACTGGTTGTTCCTCTAAATAGATAATTTAAACAACTTTATTTAGCTATAATGACACAGTATTAAATATATTCATATATCTTACCACCAATGTCTAAACATTCTTCTCCAGTATGCTTTCCTTTTTTACGATCCTTTAATTTTTGTTTAGCCTTATCCTTCTCCTTTTCCTTGCGCTTTTCCTTGTCTACATCTTTTTCATCTTTGTCTTTTTTTTTCTTATCCTTCTCCTTTTCAGCATCTTTCTCTTTAGCTTCTTTTTCCCTGGATTTTTCTCGTTTTTCTTTCTTTGATGGAAATTTAAAAGCTTTGGTCTTTTTTGTCTTTGAAGGACTTCTGTGAGTTAAATCATATGCTAATTCAATTAATAAAGTGGTTTTATATAAAACAAATAAACGTATATACAATAAATCCTCAAGTTATGTTCATTAATAGATGCATAATTGGGAGGAATATACTTTGGAATAAATTAACCGTGTAAGCGGAGGACTTACGGTATCACAATGTGTAAATTTTTCTTAATTTGACGTATATGTATCATCTCTTTTAACATAAAGAACAATCACTTTCACAACAAAATACACATTCACAATGGAAATAAGGATTAAAATAATTAATAGGATTAAATCATAAATATTTGAAATAAGTTTGCTTCCCATTTGAGAATAATTGACTTTGAATTATTAACTAAGAACATGTATGAATAACACAAATCAATACAACTAACTTTAGATCAGTATGACACTTCATTAGCATGACAGTGCCAACAATATGTGAAAATTAAAGTTACTTTATGATGTAACTTTAATTATAGAAAATATGGAATACTTATCCACACTCTTACAGCATTGAACATTAATTAATAATGAGCAGGATAGACTACTCCTCTTGAAAAAGATAAAATACAAATGACCCTTGACAGTAAAATTTACATAAGAGGTTGAAGGATTATGATGCATAAAAAAGATTGTATAAAAAAACTATTACTTTGTTTCCTGATCCTCATCAGGGGAACTTTCACCTTCTAAGGTGGCATATCCTCGATCTTTTCGATCTTTCTTTTCTTTGCGTTTACCACCAAGGAGTTCTTTTTTAGAATGTTTTTCGTGTCCACCTTCATCACTAACTAGAAGTACACACATATATACATATGACGATTAACTGATCGGAGTATAGATAAATAATTTTTTACGCATAATTAGACATGTCACTGGATATAAAAGGGAATCACGGCGTTTAATTTGCGAATGACTCGAATGACAGATGCATATAACCTCTTCGTCAAAAAGTCGGTAATTTTCGATTAATTAAATTATTAAAAATGCGACGATACGTACAATCACTTTCGTTACTTTTCTTGGCCGATTCTGATGCGTACAATCCTGGAAACTCTTTTTCAACGTCTGGACTCTCGAAATCCATCCTCCTTTTGCCTCCGACTTAAAAACTTGGTGGCAAATTATCGATTATCCGGTTCGAGTTTTCCCATCTCGATTGTCAAAAATTGTACAGGTGTTGAATCGATTGTTTTAAATGCGCGTGTAGGAAGGCCATTTGAAATTTTATTCTTGTTTGTTCGAATTACTTCTGTTTTTATCAAAAACGATATTGTCGACAATTGATGAAAAATTTGTTGTTTCTTTTCCAAGGTTAAAAATTTGTTCACAAGTAGAGTAACGTTGAACTTCTTTAATGTACGTTTAATTTGTCATTTCGCGTATTTCGGAAGGTTGCCATGGTTTAAAGACATGACCATCTGCTTCTCTATTAGCCATATATGTAAAATATGCTTCTTTGAAGGATATTGAAGGAAATTTTCCATAGTCCATTGTATTCCACATTGCTCGCGAATAAAGAATACGGTCTTTACGAACTTGACTGTAAAATATTTCTTTCTTCTCTCTGATCTAGAAATAAATATAATGATGGATGTAATACGACCATAATTTCTGGTTTCTGGTATTTTGCATAGCCAAACCTTTTCTTTGATTTCCTCGGCATAATCGAACGTCAAATTTCTAAGCTGATCTTTTGTCAAGTTTAATGGTGGCGGTTCAATTTTGGATGACCTTCTTACATCAATTAAATCCCACATCATGACACTTTTATTTATTGACTTGTCTAGATACAGAATATATTACGTGTATCAATAGTGTAGGTGTACTAATATATATCACTAGTATTATTTGCCTGCTTACCTCTATCTTCATCGCTAAGAGCAAATCCTTTTCTATATATCAACCAATATTGCAATTGTGGCATTAAGAAACATTTTGGTAGTTTTGCAAACAGAAATCCTTCTACTGCCATTTTTTTTAATTCATTCTAATAATTAAATATTTTTAAAGTTATTGCATGTAATGCTAAGAAAGCAAGAGTTAATAAAGAAGCTATTTTACCTGTGCCAATATCATCAAATCGGTTCCAGAATTGTCAGAAGTTTCATTGTTTTCTTTATTAGAACTCTCTACAATGTTTGCATTTGATTTCATAGTTGTATCTTGCAATTGAGAATGGTCCTGGATTTCTTTGTTCCGAGGTTTTTCATGGTTGTATGAAGTTTGTTGTAATCTAGTATCATTTTCTTTATATTCAGGTTTTTGAGAAATATATGAACTTTTTTGTACATTTGCTTCAGTTTCTTTATGTTCAGGCCTTTGAAGATTATACGAGATTTTTTTTATATTCGTTTCGTTTCTGACATTTTTATTTTTCTTCAATTTCTCTGTTACTACTGAATTATCAGTGATCAGTTTATTTTTATTTTGAAGCTGTGGTTTTATCCGTTTAGAAGGATTTACATTGGTTTTAGTTTGTTTATTTGG